GATTGGATTCCCCTGCAGCCAATCCCATATACCATCCTCAGCCTCGCAGCTCAGCCCCAATTGGTCCCCCTCCAGGTTTATTCGGTATGTCTCCATAGCATATATGGAATAAGTTGTACTTACTCCATACAGGTCCTCCCACTCCCCCTCCACACTAGACATACTTGCTCAAGTTTTTGCATCTTTGCCAAAGGTCTTGCAATCAAGACCTAACTCGCGTCTTGGTACCCTCTTATTACCTGATCTATGAATTTCTCTTGAACGTTCTCAATAGTCTCCTGTACTGCAAGTTATCGTACATCCATCAGTGTTTTCTCTGGAATGAATGCCCTGTTATTTTTCTATGTTACTGTTGCTACTTGTTAAATCAATCTATCACTAATGCCAATCCCATTAACCCCAAAGAAATCACAGAAGGTGTAAATAAGAGCAAGAGATAGATCTTGTCGTGTCCTCAAGTTAATGACACAATGTGGCGTTTCTTTGTTCCCTAATCCCTTATCGCCTTGATAATCGCATTCAAACAAGTTCTAGATAGTCGGAATAAAGCCATTAGATTATACCTCCCAGATAGGTATTATGGAGGCTCGAGATGCCCAGAAGTCGAGATGGAGCAACAAACGGCGCATAATTGGTCGGGGCATTGGAAATGAAAGAGAGTGTTGAAATGAATCGAACAAAGCTAGACATAGATCAAATATTGGCAGACATTGTATGAGTAATTGGCGGCCCAAGTCCAGCCTTATTCAACCTGGCGGGGTCTCCTTTAGCCAAGTAGCTCTCAGATGATATATTAGACTCACTCCTCATAATGATTCTTTCTCTTGGGATCTGTCAACCTCTTTTCCATGAAGCGACGTCGGTGAGGTCTGTTCGAACGCGTCAATACTTCAAGCAGCGCAGTTCTGAAAGAGCACGAACGAGACGACGATGACAGGTACTGGAGAATGACTCAAGCAATACCTGGGTACAATAATTGTCAAGAAGGGTTGCTCCATGTCGAGAGAGGTAAATACCTAGAAACGCTGCCAATTCCAGGTCCAATGGCTTGTCCAACCTGTTGGAAGAATGTCTTCTCTCCCCTTGTCCCTACAATCAAGCTGTCGGGGCGATACAGGGCGATCATCCTTTCAATAGTTTCGGTAATTTTACCAGCCACGAATTCGACCACGATACTGAGCTTGCGAGTCGGGTCCACTTCTCGGTTCTTATCTCCAATGCTCTTCATGAGCTCCCTCGCTTCGTCCCGAAGTGTCTCGTGATCCTTGTCTATGCGGGTGGCAATTCCGATATCGGCAGTCCAATA